CTGTATGCACATGCCAGGTGCTATTAACGCTGGTATTTGTGGATTTAAGCATCTGCCCTGTTCTGGATTTGTTCCATGTGCATCTTCAAACAATGCTTGTTATGAACCTGATCACATCTGTGTGCATCATCCTATATGCCATACACATCCTATTTGTTATCCGATTTCGATAGCCGGTGAACCATATTGTCCAACGATGACAAGTAAGAGAATAAATAACGATCTGCAAATTCAAGTGATATTCTAAGCTTTCTTAAAAGACACTTCTTCATCAATCATACACCTTTCACATAGACAGTCAATGCGGCTGTGTGTCAACAGTGAAGAACATTTGACGGCCTCTTGAAAGAGCAGATTAACTGAATTATAGTTTTGAAGAAAAGCTGTTACTTCTGGTCATCTTCGAGACGATATTTATTAGTCATAAATGCAGAATATATTGCCCTTTTATCGAACAAGACATAATGACCCACCGAGCGTTTGGTCTGAGCATTCTGCTTGCGAGTTTACATATATACAGAGCCTTACCATCAAAAGCAGTTTTTTAAAAAATAAATTTGATTTTCAGCCTATTGTATAGTGTTGCACTATTTTGGAACTCTGCTTGAAATATATTCATAACTGAGACTTACCGAGCTTATCTCCCATTCTAAATTAGACTAAAAACTAAGTATTTCGCTCACATAAATATTTTATCTTAATGAATAGTGACCAATACTACAACAAACCCAACTTTAATTACAACTACAACTTCAACTACATCCACCACTTCGCAGCCAGGTGAGCCTTGAATTACTGCTTTTTAAACTCGCTAAGTTCTACGAAGGGTGTGGGTGGGTGTGGGTATGGATAAGAGTAAGGATGAACAAGAAACACTTGCCCTCACTCACACTCGTTATCCAGTCACAATGACTGATCGAAGTATCTTTCCACCAATAGAAAGTGAGTGGATCTCGATGGATGATAGATACACCATTCTTATTCACACTTGCAAGATATTTGAAACTATAAATTTCATCTGTTTTAGATAAGACTAATCTTAAATGGAAACAAGATGGCATCACTGTGGCTGGTGGGCATGGACCAGGACAAGAATTAAGTCAACTCGATCGCCCTGTTGGAATCTTTATTGATAAAAACAAAAATATTTTCATCGCTGATCATTTCAATCATCGTATTGTTGAATGGAAATATAATGCAAAGGAAGCACAAATCATTGCAAGTGGAAATGGCAACGAAAATCAAATGGATCAATTGTATTATCCAACAGATGTGATTGTTGATCAACAAAATCATTCGATTATCATTGCTGATTATGGAAACGGACGAGTGATTCAATGGATGAATCAAACTCAACAAATTCTCATTGAAAATATTTACTGTTATAGTTTGGCAATGGATAAACATGGATTTCTTTATGTTTCTGACTGGATTAAGGGTGAAGTGAGACGATGGAAAATGGGAGAATACAACAACGAAGGAATTGTAGTAGCAGGCGGAAATGGGCAAGGAGATCAACTCAATCAACTCAATTCTCCTCGTTTTATCTTTGTTGATGAAGATCAATCTGTTTATGTATCAGATTGGAACAATCACCGTGTGATGAAATGGAGAAATGGTGCAAAAGAAGGAATAATTGTGGCTGGAGGAAATGGTAAAGGAGAAAATCTTAATCAGTTGTCTCATCCTGAAGGAGTAGTTGTTGATGATTTGGGTCAAATCTATGTGACAGATGTTCTGAATCATCGAGTAATGCGTTGGTGTGAAGGAAAAGAAGAAGGTGAAATTGTTGTTGGTGGAAATCATCAAGGAAATCAACCAAATCAATTATATAATCCCGCAGGTTTATCCTTTGATGATGAAGGCAATCTTTATGTTGCTGATTATTGGAATCATCGAATTCAAAAATTTGAAGTAATTTTGTGAATGGAATTTTGATAAAAAGCAAAGAAAGTTTTATTATTGAAAAGTAATGAAAAAAACAAATAAACTTTTGATAAAATAACAAAGAAAAATCTTTTTGGTTTTTTCATTAACCTTGAGTTTTAATTGGTAATTTTCATTAAAAATTCAAATAAATAAATGTTAAATTCTTCATCTTTTGTAAATTGAATTGCATTGCAATAAAAATTCTTTGAAAAGAAAATTCTGTGTTTTAGAAAATTCTATTTGTATATTTTTATTTTTGATGAAAATAATCAAATTGTCTAAAGTTGAGGAGAAGAGAAATGTTTGATAAAAATTTGATAATAAAAATTGGATTGTAATTTATTTTACTAGCTAAGACGAATGCTGAAAAGATTTTTGTTTAATAAACTACAAAATTGTATCATTTTCCAATTTTAGTGGTTCAATTTAAAAAAATATCTTAAGAAAAATTAAAGTGGAAGGTTGGTATGGGTGTGGATATCTTCTCTTTCTACCAACCCACATACTCAAAGTATTTCAACGATTGAATAAATCAATGATGATTAAAATATTTTTTCAAAATGTAAAAACTATGAATAAATGAGAAACAATTCATTTTCTAATCTTGAAATCAAATAGAATTTCATTCAATCTCACAAATCATTGTTTCCATCTATTTATTTACAATAAAACTTGTCTATAGTGAGCATTGAAGAGATCATTTCAGAGGATAATATCATAAAAAAAAGATGTTTATTGAAAAGAAAATTATCAGTTTAATTAATTTTCAAAACTAGTTTCGTTTTCCTCATATTAATAAATGAAGAGAGATATTTTCTGTGATTAGCGATCTAAAATCACTTTTTAATAAAAGTTCATATAAATGATTCTATAAAAGAATATATATTGAAAACTTTTTCTGTTTTATTATGATTATATGCTCATGATAAATTCATAAATAAAATTGTACGTCGACATTTTCTGATAAACATATGAAGAAATTATATTATATTTAAGTTCATTGAGATTTATATGATTATTTTACAAAATCTTTGTCAAATTATTTCATTTCGATTGAATTGTTTTTATTAATCGATTTTTACTATTTTTTTTCTTTGATATTTCCAATATATTAATTATCATAATGAAATCAAGAGACGTTCTATATTTATAAATTTCATTAAACAAAACACAAATATAAAAATGTTGAATTTTGAGAAATTTTTCATTTTATTTGAAATGTTTGATAAGAAATATTTTTCTAAATATTCATACAAAAAATGGTAAACTAAAATAATTAAATCAAATAGAATATTAAAAATCAGCGAGTAAAATTTATTTCTAATTTAAATATGTTAAATCTTTATTAATTTATTTTATTTTATGTTATACAAACCTTTTAATTAAAATCTTTTTCGTTTTTTTTATTATCTAAATTTATTTAAAAAAAAATATCAATAAAATCTTTTCTCATTTTCAA